GGGGGAAGACGCTTATACGCGGACGTCTTCTATATAGGAACAAAAAAAAACCCCTAATAATTATGTTTAATGATAGCTTCATTTATTGCAAATCATATTTATAATGTTAAAACAAATATTAAAAGGGGGGAAGACGCTTATACGCGTACGCCTTCTATAACAGACCAACACAGTTAGATTTGTAGATCTTAGTTTTTTATAAACTTTATTTAGCACATGAGAAGGTTTATAAGTATAAACCTTAGCAACACGCCTGAGAACATAGTTTTTTACAATTGGCCATCATTTAATACATTTACTTTTCGTAGGGAGAACAATGCAGAAACGATTTTGACAGATAGCGCCGAACCACGTTTAGTAGGTAAATTTTGATTGGCCGAAAAATGTTGTGATTTGTATGGCTAATTAAAAAGAGATGATAAGAAATGATTGGTTGATAGTAAACTGATTTCATTGGCGCATTTACTATCCGATTTTGGAGCTTAGCTTGAAGAATTTTGTGATCTAAACCACGTGGTCTCTGTATTGACATTTCTGCACTGTCTCCCATATAATGCTAAAAATAGTAACAACGGTGCCTGTTGAGACCAACCACGACACCGCTGTTTAATTATTTAAAAACAAGGAGGGGGATGGTACTGATATAGTTGGAACATGATCTTATAAGAATAACAATGATATTCAGTAATTATATTGTTATTCTAGACTCTCTATAGACCTATACAAAAAGAATATAGAGAGATAGAAAATTTATACCCTGAAATGGCTATTAATAAATTGCTTGGTTACCTACAATGTGATGAGTACTGCTTTTTAGAGAAGAAAAAAGCTGCCTCATACTTGTTCTACTCAATGAATTAACGTATGCTCCATTTTTGTCATTGAGTAGATCACAGTATAAACTGTTTTATATAATATTTATTTATATGGGTACAATCTGATATGGAGTCTTTGCTGACATTAAGGTTGTCTTTAAGAAAAAAAGAACAGCATTATAATCCATAAGGACTGGTTATGCTAGTTTTGAAATAGAATAAGACATCCTTAATGTGATGAAGTCCTCTTACTAACAAATAAAAGAGGATTTCATACTTGATTGAGCCCTATATAGCCTTTGCTCCATATTATTGGATAGGGCTCAATTTTAACATATAGTATGTTATAGATTGTACCCTATATAAGAATGAATAAAAATTAAGAAGATATATTATGCATTATATATTTACAAACAGACCAGCCGTTTATTATTTACAAGGGATAAAAATATAGATAGGGGGAATAAAATGGAGTCTTTATGTGACATTGTAGGTATCATGTAGCCACAACCCAATTTTGATTGATCATGTACCAGGGACAATAAAAATAAGTGATAGTGTACAGTCAGTATTTAAGAAATATGTACTAAAATATATTAAAAATGTAAATAAATAAGCAATATATAGTTGTCTCACCGTTTAACGGCCACTTTTTAGGACCACTTTTAAAATTTAATTACATGTAATAAAAGAAACAATAGATTATTTACAATAAAAAGTGTCTGACCTGTACACTATTACAACTTTTTAAAAAATTTATAATTTAATGGAGCTCATAAATATTATCACAAGAATAGAACAAACTGAAACAATAAAGTAATGATGGCAACACCCATTGGCAGGTAATTGGAAAATTTTTACACCTATATGAATATACCATATTTTACATTAATAAAGCTGGCTCTCTTGGAGCCAAATGATAATTAGATGAAATAGAACAATACCAATTAAAGTTGTTCATGGAGGAAATATGCACCCAAGGAAGGACAATCCACAAATTACCTTAAAATAGCATCATTAGAATAGGTATTAAACTAATACCAAATTACCAATATATCTATGTGTATTTCTACTATATGGAAGTTTTATATGTATGGTTTGACAAATTCATTGTGTAACGCGTAAATTTTGAAAACAATTTCAGTCATTAAATTATAGAAGGAAAATCAGCCGCCCTGGTTGGAAAACTCAGACATGTTTTATGTTCCTTAGATGTATGTCTTTGTTGTTTCATACTATTCTGGTGACACTTTTGTCTCCCTTCAAGTTGTTTTTCTCGTCTTACGTGATTCCTCTAGTTATATATGACGCGCGACGCGAGAAAACTGGTCTTAGTGACACGACAATAAATGTGCGATTTCAATGACGTCACTTTTGTTGCGTATTACACATGTAAATAAGGAAATACTTTTTATCGTGTGCTATTGAGTTTTTTTTTAAAGTGTATTGACTTTGGAATTCAGAGTAAAAATTAAAAGATGGAGGAGGAATTAGAAGTAGAAAAAATCTAAGTGTCTATAATGTATAATTGATGAAAACCAACAACAAAAACATATTACTGTATGCATAAATTTTAAATTATATTCAGAGCTTAGCATTGATAAAATTTTATTGTTGGTATGTAAACAGTACAGAATCTACAGTATACTTACATTATACAATATACAAAGAATAATATCCGAGCGGTGCCTTTATAGATCTATAGAATAAATTTAGAACAACGTTGTTTTGATTTTAACTTTAGTATTGTATTGAGCGTATGTTTTCATAATTCATATAGATCTATTATCGGCAGATTGATTTAAAAATAAACTAATCAGTTGCTAGTTAGATTAATACTCATAATTCATTTTAAAAATTGTTGCAAGAAAATAGGAAAGTAATATGTCCAAATATGCTGTCATCATGGAATAAATTTTTTTTTAATTAAAACATTGATTAATAAAATTAACTGTTTAGTGTATAGCTCAGTGTATAATGCAGACGAATCGAGTTCAAATCCCAACTGAAGCTTATTTTTTACTCATTTTTTTCCTTTTCTTTTTTTTCTTTAATATGATCTTAAATCCCTTTACTCGGATCAATTTGGAAGGACTCCTATCAAGTCTCAAACCACAGAATTTTGAAGAGATAATACCGACTCAGATTAATATTCTGATGAAGGAGAATGCGCTAAAGAATGCGCTGACGAGGCCGAACTCGTATCTACAAGAACAAGAGACTTCACCGCCGCGAATAGTCAGTCTGGTCATGATGGAACGGATATCTTTTTGTAATTTTATAGGAACGTGATCTATATAATGAGTGCATACGGCGTACTAGTAGCGTTGCCACACGTGACTCGAAGGAAAAGTTTGTCCATCTTACGTTTGACTTTAGTCATAAGGTCAGTTTGCCTCATTTTTCTCGCCAGATGGGTCCATTTTACTTTTTAACCCTACGTAAAATACAAATATTCGTAGTAAGACTGGATGGCATGCCTCACCAACTCAACTTCCTGATTGACGAAGATCAAACCATAGGTCCAGATGGTAAAGAGACATACGGACCAGACACTGTGCTGTCGCTTGTAGACTGGACATAGCAGAATCACGCTAATCAGACTCCAGCCATGTCGATACACTCGGATAATTGTCCTGGTTATTTCTGATTTTGTCCCTCCCCTTCCTCGTACTTCAAGTCTGCTTCCCCTGCACCATTTTACTTTGTTGGCCTATTAATCAATTAATTGTATTTGATTTCCTTGTCGGTAATTTTTGTTGCATTTTATGTATTATCAAAGTTATTATCTTGTCCGTGCTATGCCTTGTGTCCTGTCCGTGCTATGCATTGTGCCATGTCCGTGCTATGCCTTGTGTCCTGTCAGTGTTATGCCTTGTGTCATGTTCGTGCTCTGCCTTGTGCCCTGTCCGTGCTCTGCCTTGTCCCCTGTCCGTGCTCTGCCTTGTGCCCTGTCCTTGCTCTGCCTTGTGCCCTGTCCGTGTTATGCAATGTGTCCTGTCCGTGCTAAGCCTTGTGTCCTGTCCGTGCTCTGCCTTGTGCCTTGTCCGTGCTCTGCCTTGTGCCCTGTCCGTGCTCTGCCTTATGCCTTGTACTTGCTCTGCCCTGTGCCCTTTCCGTGCTCTGCCTTGTGCCCTGTCCTGTTTTTGTTCCGGGTGCTCCTAATCTCCTTGCCGCTGGTCATTGTTGCTGGGTCGTGTTGGGCTGCGTTCATTGAACGACGCCTTTCCTCGTTGATCTTGTTTATCATATTTTATGTACATGTTTAGACATCATAAATAATATTTAACTTGGTGACTTTTATTTGACAACTCGCCTACACTATTTACAGTTCGATTTAATTACGACAGAACATGCATCTTCTGAAATAGTATGCATACATGTAAATGCATACGAATACCAGCTACCCGGAAAATGTATAGATCAACAAAATAATTAAAAGTTCATACATTGAAAAGAACAGAAAATGTTTGAAAATGAATTAATTTTACTAAAATCGTATTACAAAACAGCCTAACTTTATATTATTAAATCAATAGTTTTGATTATTTAAATACAAAGTAATGAATGATTAGGTATATAAGCAATGGTTATTTTTAGATGATATGAGTTACTTTTTTTCTGTAGAAAAATACAAATAATGTTAAATGACCCTGGACCGCAAACTGCGACACTTTACCAATTTCTCTTAAATTCGACATGCTCCGATAAGTCAAATATCGGTCGATTTAATATATGAAAAGATAATTAAAAAAATAAATACAAGATCATGAAACTGCACAATAATATGTAGTTTCGTTCAGATGTGTTCCTGTTTTATTTAGAAATTAAAAAAAATAGTATTGTGTTAAACTCACATCTCAATTGTGAGTTCGTCAAACTCGTTTTATTATTGGTTATTTATTATCCACCAGTGGTGGATAAACACGAAATATTTTGGATATTTCTGTCAATGGTGCTTACAATTTTTATCAGCCATTGAGGACAAATGTCGAAACATTTGTTTTATGATACTTGATGGTACCAAACAACATCAGTGACTTCAGGCCTTTGAAATTACAAACGGAAAAACGTTTTGACTGACATAAGATCGACCTTTTAATCATAAGATACACAGTCTAATATATCCTTTATTTCTTTATTAGACTTATATTTCAGCAATAAGATAAATATGTCTTATTTTTTCAGAACTTTTGGTGATGGAGAATGTATATCGCTTTCAATGCAAATTGATAAATTCTAATTCATCATGTGTGAAATGTCTGAAGAGAGAACATATTACATTAGAACTAGTCTTATGTACACAGACCTGACAAGAGAAGTATTATTTAAAGTGTTCAAATACTTGATAAAAAGTGAAGACATCACAGGCTTTCTCTCATCTCTAGAGCAGCAAAATATATTGAAGGAACTATTTAAAAAAAATGTCATAAACAGGTATGACTATGATCTGGTTTCTGGTCAAGTTTTAAATCTAGAGAGATTAGATATTTCTCTTTTGATAAGACTTATACTAAATTTGTGTAAAGATAATATACCAAAACCACAGCGCGGTTGGAAAACTAAACCACAACCGAAAGACGAAAGTCTTTGTGCTGATCTTCTTCGATTGAGAGATGTCAGAAACAAGATTATTGGTCATCGAGCGGATGCTAAATTGTCGGAGGCAGAGTATGAAAAGACGTGGGTAAAAATCAAAGCTATTTTGTTGAGAGTGGTTGAACTTGTTGACTCGACGTCTAGAGAAAACTGTGAACGAAGAATAAATGAATACAGACGACTAAATGTAGATACAGAGAATGCTGAAGTTAAGAGGTTACTGGATGAGTTGCTTAAATACAAAGAAGAATTTGATCACCTTCAAGAAAAGGTCATTGCTTTCAAATTACGTTTAATTTCAGCAGTTACATATGTCTATCTCAAATATTCCAGTATTAAACATATTAATACGTTACAGTCAAATTTATTTTATTCCAATATTAGCACTATTTAATTTCTACATATTTGTATGTAAGTCTAATATTGGGAGATAAATTTACACATTTCAACTTATAGTCATATTTTCATACTTGTTACTATAATTTCAGATAGGCCTGCTAGCAACCGTTACACAGGTTAAACTGACTAAACCATGCACAATATCTTCAATCCGATAAATGTAGTTATGTGCTTAAGTACCTTCTATTTCAGGTTGAAGAATTGAGTAGAACATCAAATGGTTAGTATTTACAATTGTATTGTTGTGTTCAACATATTACTATTTTCTTGGTGTTGAAAAATATAATATTGACAAGTACCATTTCTTTATTCATGTACTTATAACTTTAAGTGTCTTTAATTTTCTTCAATATTATTGGCTAATCTCTCTCTCCCTCTCTCTCCCTCTCTCCCTCTCTCTCTCTCTCTCTCTCTCTCTTTCTTTCTTTCTCAAGGAAATGATTAAGATTGATTAACATGTTATTGTAGAGTTTCAGGTATATTTCCAAATAACACCCGAGAGATTTGTACGTTACATAAAACTTTTGTTCGATGGAGGGCGTATCGTGTTATGTGGAATACTGGAGAAGAAGTTGGGTGACAAAGACCTATCGGAATTTCTTGAAAAAAAGAAGGAAACGCTGATCAGAAATATTGAAGAGAAATTTTCCAGTTGCCTATACCCACGAAAGTCTTGTTCAGATTATAACAACTGGGATGTTTTTCTTCTGGCATCAGTTTTGCTGCTCACGTTTGATGATGAACTAAGTCAAAACGAGATCATGTATATCGGGCGCATAAGAAGTGCAAGGGTAAATTATGCTTCACTTGCCTTGCAGTCTCTAGATACAGATGCCTTTCTGACCAGTTGGACTGATCTTATCAATTGCCTAAACCATCTTTCAATCAACATTGCCGAGGACGACAAACAACAAGTTGAACATCTTATTGAGCGTTATAAGAAAAAAGGCGAAGAAGGATGTGACGTTGAGGAGTATTTAAAACGGTTAAGCGAATCTGGTGTTGAAGTGAGAACTTTAAACGATGTCTACAACGGTACATTTATTTATTTCTAAGAATGCATATATTGCTAGGCAACCATAGATATTTTAATAAGTATTTCAAGAATAACAGCAAACACTTTTATCTGCAATGTTTCTAAAACATTCATTTTATTCATGAGTGATAAATGTACAACGTTTTGTGAACAATACACAAAAGTATATAATTACTATCTTTTTTTTTTCATAGAAACAATTACGGAATTGAAAGATATACTAAACCAGTTGAGCCAAAACCATATCAAGTTTAAAGAAGAACATGGTGAGTATATAAAAGATAAAGTGAAATAAGACATTCAATAAGAATTTAACAATGTCTGTAATTTTTATACATAATACGATTTTTCAGTAATAGTGTTTTTCAACACACATGTACATACATGTATAAAATCGCAGTTCAGTTTTTCTTCTGCTTCCTTTTAGTTTTGGAGTTTAAACTGCTAACAACATGTGAAAATGAAGAAATAAAGAAAAAAGCAGAGGACTTACTCGAACTCAACCTGCAAGCTTCCATACAAAATTTAGATCAACCGTCAGATATTATAAGGGGAGAAACAGACAAACTAGTAGCTAGCATTGCCGCACATCCAGATGTGAAACCGGTTGAAGTTAAACGAAAGTGCATCATTTTGTCATTCAAATGTTCTACTCCTGGTGGCTTACTGCATATTTTAAATACCACGCAAGGCGATCAATTTCGAAGCACATTCCGAAACATAGCTAATGAGCTATACTACATTTACGGATATGCTTTTCTGATACAGGGAAAGTACACACTTGAAAGTGTGTCAAGACTTTCAAGGATGATAAATAAATGTAAGAAAGAATATACAAGCCATATTTATTTAAATCGTTTTTAATCTGTTAAAGGAACTCCACTGAAGTCCATGATGCCACGGACTTTGATTCCGTGACGATGCTTGAAATTATAACATACACCAATTTGAGCACTTAATAAAGTAATATTTGCGAACGATAAATAAAAATAGACAAACATGAATAATAATTGAAAATCGCGTTTTGTGTTCTTCTTATCTCGCTTTGAGTGAAAAGCATTCCAATGCTGTTCAATTTTGGATCATTTTTTAACATTAACTTTATTCTGAAAAAGAATCATGTGAGTGAGTGAATGATTTAAAATTTTGCACGCAATTTATTGATGTACACCTTCATCAAATAGAACACTTAAAGCTGCATGCCTCCAGATGAGTCAAAATATTTCAATTAAATCAAACTTGAGAAATAATTACTTAGATTTTAGGAAATGTAAAATGGTTCAGGATTCAAGTAATATTTTGCATGTTATGTGCGGATAATGACTGATATTTTAGTATTAACAACCATATTTCTACTGCGTTACTAACGCAGTAAGGGCTATTTATGCACAATTTACCCACTTTTTGGTAATTTACATGGCTTGTAAGTTCCATTTATAATGTGGAAATGTCTTCCTTTTGGTTATTTCACAATATTATACATTTAAATACATTTTCAAAATTTTCATGAAAATTAGCATGAATCTGGAGGCGTGCTGCTTTAACTTCAAAAATCTTAAAAACCCTGTTAAGTCAAAAATCACATCGAAGCTACTTTCTGGATTCCCATCGCAGAAAATATCTATTCCGAATTTAAAACCTTTAATTCCTTATATACTTCAATATAACAGCAGAATTTTAAATCCTATCTTGAGTGAAATGACATTTGTATCACGTCTCTACTATTACAATGAAATGGCATTAACGCTTGAACATATTAAAAATGAACATATTAAAAAACAAACTCAAATATATCACGTGTCAATGAAAACTTAAGGTAAATGATTTTGTTTTACTTGAAGTTAGTTTATATATTTTATACAGCTACCACTAATGAAGGATCAAGTGAATACATAAGAATTCCACTCAAGTGTTCATCTGTGGACGGAGTAAAATCAGTTCTATCCGCATTAAAACGGGAAAAAACGACAAATAGTCTGAATAGAATTGCAGAACAGATGTCAGCGGAGTTCAATGAAACTGTATCAATAAAACTGATTCCTGAAATGATGGAATTTCGAAATGTGTTTGAAGATACAGGTATTGTGAATTTAAAACTAATTTTCTTTTATGCGATTTAATTTAAAAAAATAAGTTGCATATTTATATATAGAGGATGAAGACAAGACTAGGCACGTAGAAGAATTATTGAAACTTTTCATTGTAAAGGGGAATAGTTCAAACTGAAAAAATAATTGAGGTCACCGACCACCTTTTCGCCTAATGTGTACCTGAGTTTGAAAAGTTTCCCAATTTAAACTGTTCAATGTAAATAAATGACAATATCAAAGCAATGTGTCTTTTGTGTCTGCATTGTAGCTGACTTGCTAGCTTCCATATGATAGCTTGTGAAAAGTTTGATTAATTGGTAATGAGTACGTTAAAATACTCAGTTTCTATACTTAAAATAATGAATTAAACACATATGTTTACTTGAATTTGTTTTATAAAACTGTGTTGAGACCATAAATAAAATAACTTTTAATATAACTTAAAAGTTTAATGCATCTGTTACATGTACTTGTTGAAATGGCCTAACATCAAAACTGTTTTATGGTACTTTGCCTTCGACATGTATATTTGTGAACAGTGATAAACATGACTAATGTAATGAACGATGTGTTGTTATCTTAAAATGTCTGATCATGTGTTTATCGAATCGGTTTTGGAATATTTTATAACACTAGTATAATATTTATTTGTATATTTTTTTGCAATATGTTATAAAAGATTCAGAAGGATCAAGTTCTCTTGGAAGAAACGAACATGAGACAGAAGAAATGATTTCTAGCGAAATAGGTAAAATATGTCTAAATTCAAGCATATAATAAAAATAGTTTCATATTTTAAATGATTAAGATCCAATAAAATGCAAAAGCAATGTGTTTTAAACCTTTATTTATAGCTGAATTTATGTTTTTGTGAGTGCGTGCGTGCGTGTGTGTATTTAACTTTTCATGTGCTTTTAAACCGGAGTAACTTTAAAGAAACATATCATAGGTTTCAAACGCAAATTCAGATTGTTTCCATTTTAAGATAATCCGTTGATAATCGGCTTTCATAATTATCAACTCAATGTCGGCACTATAAATATCTTACAATAACTGTATGCCATTGAATTAATTTTAATATAATTAAACAAGTTGATATCAATAATAGACCACAAATTAAAATATATCGCATTTAAAAACCAATGGCGTTGTTCAGCAAGTACTTATTCTAATGAAATATTTCACATTTACTAAGCTAATGAAAACGACAACGGGAATCAAGAAGAACAGGTCTATTTTATTATTGACGACAACTTGACACTTGCTTATCCTGATGAAAAGGACAAAGAAGTTATACGAGGACATGGAGATGATAAAAAGAACGAGGTTTCTGCAGCGCAACACTCGTATGATGAAAAAATGAAGGAATATGCAACAGAAAATAAAGAGTCAGCTTGGAATATTGAACCAATTACAGACACATTACAGACCATTAATCTTGGACAGGTAACTTTATTATGAAAAAGAATGGTTTTCACATATTCACTTATTTGAGCAGTTTTTAAACGAAAGCTACATAAAAATAAGCACATCAAAATTTTTCAATTTGAAAGGTTTTAAATTAAAGATTTAAGTATAATACATATATGTATCTCTGGATTTTAACATATATAAGTTTAACCTGCCATTGAATATTTCTACAATATAACTTTTTTAATGGAAAGTATTGTGGATGCTTTCTATTACCTACTTTGACTGTCACACATTTTTTCTTTTACTATATACAATATTTGTGTACACAAATCATTTATAACATTATAACAGCTTGCTAGTGGTAATGTTACATTCTTAAATTTAAAAGAGATGGTGTCTGCTTTTAAAATAATTTAATACGCTATTCAAATTTACTTTAGCCTTGTATTAAGGATGTGGCAGTTGGTGAGAAAAGGACAGAAAACAAATTAGGTATGTAATACTGCAAACTTATTAGTCTCAAACCGTGTCGCGTAATAATCGCACGTGATTTATTAACTGTAAGCTGGTTTAGTTTCTGCTCCTAATCCTAATTTATAACATAAAAGGTTTCCTTATTCAAAGAATAGAAAGCCAAACAAATGCAATGTCAATATGTTTGTAAGCTTGAAGAAAACCCCTTTTTAAAATGATTTTAACACTTTTAATGATACAGTTAATCTACAGATAACACATTTTAATTCATGTTATATTAAAGGCACACTATGCCTCAGAAACAAATAAAAATTTCTTCTTTAGACGGCTAATATAACTTTCATAATGTTTAAATAATTGTAATATAGAATGTTATATGCTTTCTACAAGCAGAAAGTAGTGATAAATGTGCAATAATTTGTTATTAAAGTGGCAAAATGTAAACAAAGCAGTATTGAAACGTCTTGACTTACGTACACAAAACGCGTACACTTAAACTTGACTTAAATGATATTCAAAGTACTGATATAGAGGTATAAGGTATAATTTGTACATCTTAATTTTATAATTTCTTATATAGAAAGGGACTTGAACATATATAAGGGGTTGTAATAATATTATAAAAAGTACAGACCGAAGCTAAGTCTTAAGGTTAAAGAAATTTAGAAAATGGTTAAATTCTACCGTGTATCTCAACAGCAACCATGTAACAAATATATACTTGTAGTACAAATTATTAGTTTTCCGTGTGCTTTGGGTCCAAATATTTTTTTAGTTTATTGATTTATACATAAATGTTTGACGCTTTATAGAATTTTCAATTATTTTAGATTAACATATTCATTAACTTTGGCATTGCAATTTTAACTAATTGTTTTTTATTACTCTGCTAACGATTTTATTTTCGTATTCCCACAGAAAAAACACCTGTTTATTTATTGATTACAGCAGTGTATAGTTTCTTTATGCTTTATTATTACTATATTTTTCATTATTTCTGAAATTGAAGTGGCAGTATTTTAGCTGGAAATTGGGTTGATATAGTAACATATTTCAAGAGATTGTCGAAAATTATGTTGATTGACAAATAATTGATAGACAATAATGTTGAGAATGAAAAATAAAAACTTTCTGTATTATAAACAGACTGCCCCACTCTTTTTAACAATTTGATGCAACCATTACATTCCGAGTTATAGTATTCGAAATGTCCATGGATCAAGTAGATAATTAATTAATGTTACATTGTAAAAGTTTCAATTTAACGCAATTGTGACAAAACGTAAAGTTAGTTTGTCTTTTATATGTGCACTTAACATCTACATATTTATGGGCATAATGTCACTTTTACAGTTCGGAATTGAAAAAAATGATTATCTCACTACACTGATTCACCAGCAGGTCACTTGATTATGAATATTTTATAACACTTGTAAAATGTTTTGTTTATGTTTTGCAATATGTTTTAAAAGATTCAGAAGGATCGAGCTCTCTTGGAAGAAACGAACATGAGACAGAAGATGGTAACATATATCTAAATTCAAGCATAAAACAAAAAAGTTTCATTTCTTAAATGATTAAGTGCAAATCAAATGCAATGTCAGTATGTTTTAAACCCTTATGTTTATCTGAATTTGTCTGCGTGTTTAACTTTTGATGTACTTTTAACCGAAGGAAATTTAAGGAAACATACCATACGGTATAAAACATAAATTCAGTATGTTACCATTTTAAGATAGTCCGTTGATAATCTGTTTTCGTAATTATCCATTCAATGTCAGCACTATAAGTATCTAACAATCACTGTATGCCATTGATTTAATTTCAATATAATACAACAAGTTGAGTGGCGGCATGGCCGAGTAGTTAGCGAGTCGGACTAGAAATCTAATGATCACAAGCCGAATGGGTTCAAACCCCATCAGGGACAAGTCGTTGTTTCCGTGAGCAAGAACTGTAGACTCATTCTTTAGTACTGGTTGGTTCCAGGAACGGATTCGAAAGTGTGTCTATATATAAGGTTATAGCTTTCTACACAATCGAACTAAAATAAATTCGATATAAACCTAACAATTGATATTATTGTCAACTAATTAAAATAAATCAAATATAAAAATCAATGACGTGGTACTGCAAATACTTATTATCAATCGTAATGAACTATTTCACATTTACTAAGCTAATGAAAACGACAACGAAAATTCAGAGGAACATTTCATTTTTGGCAACAAATTGACACTTGCTCCACATGGTGAAATGGACAAAGAAGTTATACGAGGATATGGAGATGACATAAAGAACGAGGTATATGCAGCGCAACAATCGTATGATGAAAAAATGAAGGAATGTGCAACGGAAAATGAAGCGTCAGCTTGGAATATTGAAGCAATAACAGACACATTGCATACCATAAATCTTGGACGGGTAACTTTATTATAAATTAAAACGGTTTTCACATATTCACTTGTTTTGAGCAGTTTTTAAAATTACTGTATTGCAACGATAGCTACATTAAAGTAAGCGCATCAAATTGTTTCAGTTTGAGAGAGTTTTCATAAAAGATTCAAGTATAATGCATGTATATTGCTCTAGATTTGGACATAAATACTTTTAACCTGCCGTTGTTTACAATTCACTTTTTTAATGGAATACATTGATGATGCTTCTTACTACCTACTTCAACTGTTCTTATTTGATCTTAAAGTATACAATATTTGTATATAATGATCATTTATACCATTTATAATACAGTGTAATAACATGCTAGTGGTAATATTACATACTTGAATCAATGACAAAACATTTCAAGTTTGAAAAAACACATTTGAAAGAGATGGTGTCTGATTTTTAAAAAAAAAATTATACGATATTCAAATTTACTTTAGACTCGTGTTAAGGATGTGATAGTTGGTGAGAAAAGGACAGGAAGCAAATTAGGTATGTCTCACTGCTAACTTATGATAATCACACGTGATTTATTTACTTATAAGCTGGTTTAGTTTCTGCTGAAATGGGCGAAAGTTATCTTAATCCCAAATCATAACAGAACAAGAAGTATCTTTTATAAAGATACTCGGCCGAAGTGTTTACTTTTTAACACGCAAAAATATGTTATTTTTAAGTTTTCAATACAAAGAGAAATGTTAGCAATGCTTGCATAACAATGACATGATCATTATTTCTTGTAGCTATTAAGAACATAAATACCCATTTTGCTAACATTGAAATTAAATTATACCATAATGATGATTTTTCAAAGAAGAATAACTTCTTTTTAAGGTGTCGTCCGTTTGACTTTATAAATTTCATAATTATTTACAAATTAACCTTAAAGTTAAAGAACTATCCTCATTCCTGAACATTTTATTTTAGAACTATCCTTTACGTTTTATTTTTATAGTGACAAAACTATACATACCATACATTTTATCATACAGCTATCCTTAAAATTGTCATTTAGAATGGCAAAATATATCCTTTACTTTTTTTAGAATGGTTAGAACTGTCCTTTACATTTTATTTTAGAATGACCAATGATATTCACCCATTTCAGTTTGTAATTTTAAAATGACAAATGACAATTCTTTTTATATTAATCTTTCCCAGTTAATTTTACAGGAAGTCAAACCGATAACAGGGGGATTTCGTCCGAAAAAGTTTCCTTATTAAAATGATAGAAATTCCGTCTGAGGAGAAAAGTTAACCTCGTTGTTTTGCATACTTGACCCTCAGACATCAGTGAAATTTTTTTAAAAGACATGCTTTTTTTGGCATCTTGTAGATGTGATGACTTATACAAGTGTGCATAACGTTGTGTGGACGATTTATAACACGTATTTAGATTGCTTTCACTGCACTAGCTATTTTTATAATTGCGATATACCATTGTTTTACCAATTTCAGCACTATGAATATTGAGCAATCACTTTTTGTCATTATTTGCACTGTTAAAATCAAATTGAAATAAAAAATAATACACCCTATAAATAATATAACATTATATTTAAAATGAATGTAGTTTAAACTGTATAGCCATTTACTCTTTTAATGACATATTTTATATGTAGGTTATAAAAACGACAACGGAAATCAGGAGGAACAGACTGACTTCATTACTGACAACAAATTGACACTTGTGCATCCGAATGAAACGCACTTTGATCTTGTACCAAGGCCTGCAAATGACGAAAAGAATGAGTCGCCTGCAGCACAAAAATCGTTTGACGAAAAAATGAAGGAATGTGAAGCGGAAAATGAAAGAAAAGAAAGCAACATTAAAACAATTACAAACGCATTTCCATCCTTTATTGACGTGATTGGTAAGTGTCATTATATTTTTTACTGATACAACATAAGCTTAAAAAACCCTTCAAGTATCCTTCAAACTTGAAACAAAGAGAGGACACGTGAAAATCTACTGACACTTTCTTTATTTTCAAAGTTTTTATATATATTGACATATATATTTGGCATATATACTATGAAAGTTATGCTCATAACGTTCACGAGACGGAAAAGATACATATTGATTATTAAAAGATATGACAAATCAACAGAAAGAAACAAAATATCATGTACTAGATTATTTTAAAAGAAAAGTTCAGCATTCTATTCTAGAGCCTTTGTCAGCATTTCAGTGCATGAGAATATGCTCCATTTGCCCCAGCCATTATTCTAAGTGCCTTAATTGTATTTGAGAATTAGTTCGGTTTAGATTGTCCAGGACCCCATATCTCTGATTAAATTTAGACCGATTTATGAGACAAGGTCGCGACGTGTCGAAGTTATTACGCAAGTCCCTTCAACTTCGACTAACCCAAGTTTTACGGTATATACATATGCTTAAAACGCACGTTTATTTCTTGTTGCTACATTAAACATACATCAAGCATATGTTTAAAACGTCTTAAAAGCCTATGTTATAGTTTTAGAAAACAACATTACGTATTTTTTATATTTGGTATGATTCGAATTTAAAAAATCACGAAAAAAATAAATCATTGCTTTTTTGGCAATATGCAAGTTTTCGGACGGGTTGGTCAGACGATATGGCCCGAAAACAATACCTGAAGGTTTATGGCCCGAAAACAATACCAAATATCTCCTATTTTCGTAACATTCTGGACAAGTGAGGTTTTACGTAAGATTTGTTGTTATTTGTTGTAAGAGTGCTGTTATTTGTCAAATAGAAAGGAATAAGTTAATTGTTACCAGATTCAGGTTGTGATGAATGTGAAATGATGTTTCATATAAAAGAATCAAAATGTGATAGTAGTATTTTGACTGCGGTTCAAATAATAAATTAACATAAAATATGCTAGGCCCCTAAATTCATCGAAAAATAAGGGTGTTGTTATTTCTTTATTAAACAATAATAAACTATTATCTGATAATGTTTCTTTTTTGTTGTTGCTGTTGTTGTTATTGTTGTTTTTTGGCCAGCGTGTGCCTCTCTCCGGCGTCCTTTTTTGCGAAAATTGTATGAAAAAAGAGTTCAATTTCCGGCCTGTCTGGGTATCTAGAGTCACTTCTAGATGTACCATAAGCACAGTGTTTTGTTGTCGCTTTTATTTTGACACTGAGTTCGATTTTTAACTTGTTTTCCTCTTCACATTGTATATAATTTTATTTTTTAAAATGTAAACAAATGTGTAATCGCTTGTCAATTTTCGTTTTAAGAATAAAACAAAACATGCACACGCACACACTGGAATTCAAAGTTTGTATTATTGCTTAAATGAAATGGGAAAATATCAACTAGTAAGAGAAAGAATAGTTATCTGCCCTTGAAGTGATAACAAGGAACAAGACACCAAATAAATTTAAAGACCGGGCTCTCCCATTTTGTTTTCATTTAAATGTTCTAAAACACGCAAAGTTTATATAAATTCAGTTCTGTCCGATTGTCTGTGTAGCTACAAGCTGTTAGACACATTTCGGATTCGTTCCTGGAACCAAAAAGAACGTACTGAGCAATGAGTGTAAAGCAAACAACGACTTGCCCCTGATGGAAATTGTACCCATATGGCTAGCGATCTTTAAAAGTTGTACATTTTACTGCCACAGGCATTCAATCTGTTATACGTGTATTTATATATGCAAGCGTAGCGTGTACTGATAAACAAAGACATGCATTCTATAATATATGGAAATATATATTTTAAGCTGACTATGACAAAACGCCGACAAGACGCCACGATATCAATCAGTCAACAAGCATGAACAAGGACAAGGATAGTTTAAAAAAGGTAGGAGTATGCACTAAGTTGTAACAAAAGTGTATGCCAACTTGTTTTCCCGGGACTATAATAAAAAAATGCTCTAGTTAAAAAAGTGCTATAGAATCTTATAAGAAAAAAAATCATTGTCATCAGCATAATCATAAAGTATTTTAATATTCATTCAAGTATAGACCTTTTTACAATACGATTTTCCATAGCAACGAATGTTGCATTTCGCGCATGCGTAGGGCAAAAAGCAATAACGATGTCTACAGTTTATCATACTTTAAGGGTTTAATAGATGCGATTTCATGTTATGTCACCCAAAAAATATTGATTTTGGGATGACTTAAGGCGGTAAGTACTGAAAACGTGAATTTTTTTAAACAGATCTACGAACATGTGCGGGAGTAATAATGCAATGGTCAAAACGGGCACACACATGTCTTTGTTTAAGGTATCATTAGACGACTTTTCCATCAGTAATTTGAATTGAAATAGCAGGATGTTTTAGATAAAATTTTATTACCACTGTATTACATAATATTACACATTTTGTATTGTAAACTTCCTTTGAATAACTGGATTGGTCAGGCGGCAAGTGTCAAACAGATTGGCACGCGAACGTTTGTTCATTCAACTGGGACGTTTAAATATCATGATATAGTTAACCAGTTACGCTTATTAAAATGGTAATTTATGTAACTTTTAAATATACCGATCAATATTTATGGATTTTGAGAAGAGAAAAATTGTTTGACGTGCATTATTAAAAATAACATGTATTACGAAGAAGCGGATAAAATGTGTGTTATATCTTTTCCAAACAACCCATCTTAACTTCTCAAAATTTTGTTAAAAAAATAATTAATTATTTAAAATCTATTTATGTGACTTAAATTTTTCTGTTTGCATCACAGGCAAATCGGATAAAGGATATAATCAGGTATATTGAAAACTAAAAATGCATTATCACCTGTTCTGATATTTTTTCTGAATGATAATTAATCTCCATTTCATGTAATATAATTTCTTTTGTTTTTGAATGAACTATTTCAACAGCAAATAAGTTGACTAGATATATTTCCACATCTTCTTTAAAAAATGATCTCAGTGCCAGATCCGTGATCGTAAATTCTTAAACAAGTATCTTTTCTATGCCTTTTTATGGCATTCTTCGCCACAAAGCTATAAAGTCATCTTTTCTAAATTTGTTGAAAGCTATTTTATATAATTTTCTTCCGTTTACCTTGAACTAACTCGGAATTGTCTATGAACTTCTACTATATTTCTATGTAGGGCGAAGCATTTCTTGCCCTACGCAGATTGCGCAACCGCGAGAAAAGTCTAATTCCGGTCAACTTTTCATAGCAACAGACCGCGTCGTAAAAAGGTCTATAAGGATGTTTATGTTATAAAACTAGAAACTAAACAAATATGACATCTGTAACGGGACGTCGATGTGTAAGCTTAGATTATTAATGATACAAATTGTTTTTTGTTCCGTATAAACTTTGAATGTTTTGTAAAATTATATTCAAGTTTTTTGTCTATCTCAAAAAGTTATATTTCATATTAAAGATACTTCCGGAAACAAGAGCAAAAGGAAAAGAAACTAAATATAGCAGACTATATGAATTCGAAACAGGTATAAGACAGACATGTAAATTATAATAATACAAATAACCAACGACGTAAGTAAGGAACGATAAATAAATAAATAAATAAATAAATAAATAAATAAATAAATAAATAATGTTCTATCAAATAATTTGAAAGTGTAAGTATTTTACTAATTTGAATGGAAATTTATATGTTTATAAATGAAGTAGCAACTATGCTTTGAAGATTTATAGAAACCGGTCGACAATATGTTGAAATAGAAATTTAAGTTAATGTCTGTTATCTTTATTGTTATTTTGCTTTATTTTACCAGGATGCGACACATTTGCTGGAGGAAAGGTGGACGAGTTACAAAAAAGAAAGCCTTATGAAACAAAACTCTTTTTTAGCCAGTATTTAGATAAAGATTTAGTTAACAAAGCCACTTACTATTTAAAAGAAGGTTTAAAAGACTGCATCATAAAATTTTCCAAAGAAAACTTTATGAAACTTCGTTTCAAGGTTTTGATTAAAGGAGATACAAAGGATTGTAATAAGTGCCATCTAAACACACTATTACCTGTGCATTCAAGCGTATTTGGTCGATGCCCACTAGGTCAAATGTCCTGCATTTGTGTTTTGCCTGGTAACAGGATACGTTGCCCTTTGAATTTCTGTGACGTCATGTATGATGAAATTATTAAACAGCATCGCACGTCATCAGTCTTTTGGTTTGCGACTTCTTCAAATGACATAAATTGGCATCAGACTCATTGGAAGATTACTAAATTCTTTTTATCGACAAACTCATCTACAATCAGAAACTGTGGACGTATCGAAGATTTGGAGTGCGTTGACTTTTTGGATATCATGATAAACAATCTTGAATTTCAAAAGGAAATATCCTGCCAAATTGATCCCCCGTCTGACGTGGTCTCAAAAGTATAAACACATACGTTTTTTTTTCTTAATGTAAATGAAAAAAGTAAAGCAACAAACAATCTTGTCTTTTTGTATCAAAATTTTCTGGAACAAACTCCTTCAAACAACATCTTTATTATTGATAATAAAACGGGAATCTAAAATTGACTGTTTGGCAAGTACACATAATCAACACGTAAACATTTAAACGCATCACAATACATTTATTATTAGACTTTAATGATTATATCTAAATTTTAATAGTGTTATAATAAGTAGTAAACATATCATAAATTGAGAAACGAATTTCAGTTTATATTAGGGAAGATCTATAAAGTAGATCTACCAATGTATTTTAGTTTAAAGTATTAAGCCTCAACCGCTCTCCCACCTCAAACTGAATAGTTGGCCTGAGATTTTTAAATATTTACGACCATACAGCTTTCCTCACATCTACTTTATTTCATCAAGATTTAACTTTTTCAGACAAGGTCCTGCCTTAGAAACACAGTCTCCACAGTAAAGGAGTTCCGTGAAGTAAAACACTATATGATTACAATTTTGGAGAGTATCATTAACCAAACTCCAAGCACACACAAAGCTGTACAGAATCTTCAGCAAGTTAGTACATTATATTATGTTCCGTTACAAAGTAATTTTGGTCAAAGCAAAGCGTTGGACAAATATATATAAGTGTTTTAGCTAGAATAGTCTAAACTATCTGATTTGTTCTGTTTTGTTTTCAGTTGGAAAAAAGATATGAAGAAAAACAGATGCACAATAAAGGCAAACTTGAGTGGTCCCCTCATAAGTCTGAGGTGAGTTATATTAGAGATGAACAATATGGAGAGACAATGAAAAAGACAGATATACCGTTTCTTGCCTATCAGGGTATTGCGAGTCTCTTCTACATGTACCAAAAGCACTTAGTTACTTGTCCCTTTCTTTTTAACACTAAATTCGATTTTCAACTTGTTTTCCTCTTACAATTGTATTTAAAATTCATTTTTTATATTGCGTGTAAAATGTATAATCGCTTGTTTAAAGTCAGCACATGTGGCGAAGCGGTGATTTGGTAAAAATCTATTTTAAATATAGTGTTAAAGGGAAAGCGTTCTCACACATAGCTAAATTTAGTAACGTCACACTGCTTTTCAGCGCAATGGTTTCGTCGTTCTATTTCTTTATTAGCCGTGTATTTTTATTCGAGTGTTAATTTGAAAATACGTCTGTGCGGGTAATAGCGAGGTAAACAATAAGTACAGCAATTACAATTACAACAATCTGGAATATACTACATGTATAACCATTAATGTTCCCGACGCTAATGAAGTTTCATCCCAGTCTACACAATCTGATTTTTTTCAGTTTGAAAGGAGATATACTGTAAAACAGATGTACACTCAACATATTTACACTCATCGAGGTTTCCAAAACGAATCAGACAAATTAAAGGAATCTATAAAAATGGAAGATATATCCTTCGCAGGGGATGAAGGTGAAATGGAGTGGTTTCCTCGCAAGTCTAAAGAGGTTGATGTTAGAGAGCAACAATATGAAGATACAATGAAAAAGACAGGCACACATGACAACGATATAGATTTTGAAACAGAAGATCCGATCTTATTGTCAAAAGATGAATTTGAGCGAGTACTTCTTGAAGCAGAAACATCTTGTAGAATAATGACAGAACAAAAAACCGTTATAACAGAAAGTAACTTGCTTATCCTTCAGGATAAAATTGAATATTTAATTCAAGCAAGCGAAACGGCGGCGGCAACTTCATTTCAGCGCCAAAATCTTGATTCAGTCCGAAAGGTAAGTTATATAGAATCTTTCATTTTAGATTTTCATAAATTGTTTTATATCAATATTTTTGTCATTTAATTTAGACTTATAATTGTTTAAATGAATTGCTTCGTAACTGAAGGTCTTAATGTCTACCAAATATTATGTTTATAAATTTAAGTATCACATGTGACAACAAACCATACAATAATGATATGTGACAACAAACCACACAATAATGATATGTGACAACAAACCATACAATAATGATATGTGACAACAAACCACACAATAATGATATGTGACAACAAACCATACAATAATGATATGTGACAACAAACCATACAATAATGATATGTGACAACAAACCACACAATAATGATATGTGACAACAAACCATACAATAATGATATGTGACAACAAACCATACAATAATGATATGTGACAACAAACCACACAATAATGATATGTGGCAACAAACCATACAATAATGATATGTGACAACAAACCATACAATAATGATATGTGACAACAAACCATACAATAATGATATGTGACAACAAACCATATAATAATGATATGTGAAAACAAACCACACAATAATGATATGTGACAACAAACCATACAATAATGATATGTGACAACAAACCATACAATAATGATATGTGACAACAAACCACACAATAATGATATGTGACAACAAACCATACAATAATGATATGTGACAACAAACCATACAATAATGATATGTGACAACAAACCACACAATAATGATATGTGACAACAAACCATACAATAATGATATGTGACAACAAACCACACAATAATGATATGTGACAACAAACCATACAATAATGATATTTGACAACAAACTATACAATAATGATATGTGACAACAAACCACACAATAATGATATGTGACAACAAACCATACAATAATGATATGTGACAGCAAACCATACAATTATGATATGTGACAACAAACCATACAATAATGATATGTGACAACAAACCATACAATAATGATACATGGATTTTGTTGGTAAATGAAAGGTACATGATACGATATTACGTACATTCATATAGCAGATAGTAAATTTTTCCAGAAGAAACTATTATTTTTCAGCATATAAATGTTCATAAATACTTAGAACTCTATAAACATATGTGTTTCCTAGCATTATACTTTAAGAATATCCAAAATGATAATTTTATTGTTTTATCAATAATTTAAATACTTACAGAAATGTGCCCATAATAAAGATTATACAGATCAATCAACCACCACTAACACTTAGCAACACTGGATGCCTTTTTATCTTAAAACGTTTTTTTTTTAAAATTATTGTCATACAGGCACAAACTTTTCCTAAAAGATATCCACAAACAATTTTAATAAACGAGCTTAAATAATATATAAAGCTATGTAAGTACTCTCTGAAGTTTACAAATTTATATTGTTTGTCGTTTGAAAAAAAAAACAACTCCCAAGTATTGCGCATGCAAAAGGTAATAGCCAACCGGTTTAATTTTCACATAATATAGCAAATAATATTTTGTTTCGGGAACTTAAATTTTGTTTACGAACAATATCCATGTACATTTACTGCAAAGATATTCGATATAGCAACTCTTTCAGGAACCGGTCAGATATTTATAGAAACATCATATATTTATTGCTTGTAACGTTATGAAAATATTTCACTAGATATTGTTTTTACCATTTAAACTTAAGAAGATTTTCCAACCTAAAACAGATAATGTCTGTATTGCATTCATATTTTAAATGCAGATCTTTTAACGGTTTTATATCAAATAATTCATTTGTCATTTAATTTGATATATACCAAATAAGTTTTGACCTATGATAAAAGAAATGCGTCTTTGAAAACAGGCAATCCATACATTTTTGTACTTTTACCAATATGCATCTTAAGACGAGCTTTCCGTTAGAAGCTGCGGGGTTGGAAGGATTGGACAAAATTATTGTTTTTGTTTACATGTAACTATTTCAATAACGCTAACTAGAACTGCCGTTTAAGAAAAAACTGTGTGTGTGTGTGTTTTTTTGTTACTAAGAAGGTCAAAAGGCAAAGTAACGCAAGACAAAAAGCGTTCTTAATATCATGAAATGAATACAATGAAAAGAAAATAGCTTTGATCTTTAAACACCATGATGAAAAAAATCAATAAAAAAAATGTTACGAAAAAAAACAACAAAAAAACTTTGTGCCCACCTGTCTCTCTCAAAACTGTAACAGAATAGATTGTTCTCCCATACTTCGTTTTATTAATTTCTAGTTTAAAACGATTAGAAGTCTTTATGTGTTTTGGAACGTGTCATACAAATAATATCATTGACTTCCGGCGACAAGTTTTCATATCATAGTAGCTTTTTTACAATTAAGGGATGATATTGACGGATCCATATGTTTAAATAACGCCTTTTGTTTCAAGTTTTAACGCCTTTTTCGCTTAAGTTAGCCTTTCCATTTTTTATATGCCCGAAAGGGCATATTATGTTATACCCCCTGGCGTCCGTCTGTCTGTCTGTCCGTCCGTCCGTACGTCCGTCCGTCCGTACGTCCGTCCGTCCGTTAGCAATTTGGTTTCCGGAGCATAACTTAAGTTCCATTTGGCCCACAATGTTTCAAACTTCATAGGATGATTGTCCATATTGGGTAGAAGACCCCTATTGATTTTGGGGTCAAAAGGTCAAAGGTCAAGGTCACTATGACCTTTAACTGAAAACAGTTTCCGGAGTATAACTTAAGTTCCATTCGACCCACAATGTTCAAACTTCATAGAATGATTGTCCATATTGGGTAGAAGACCCCTATTGATTTTGGGGTCACAAGGTCAAAGGTCAGGGTCAATATTACCTTGATACTGAAAACAGTTTCCGGAGCATAACTTAAGTTCCAATTGACCCACAATGTTCAAACTTCATAGGATAATTGTACATAGTAGGTAGAAGACCCCTATTGATTATGGGGTCAAAAGGTCAAAGGTCAAGGTCACTATGAACTTAAAACTGAAAACAGTTTCCGGAGCATAACTTAAGTTCCATTCGACCCAAAATGTTCAAACTTCATAGGATGATTGTCCATATTGAGTAGAAGACCCCTAGTGATTTTGGGGTCACAAGGTCAAAGGTCAAGGTCACTATGACCTTGATACTGAAAATAGTTTCTTGAGCATAACTTAAGTTCCAATTGACCCACAATGTTCAAACTTCATATGATGATTGTCCATATTGGGTAGAAAACCCCTATTGATTTTGGGGTCACAGGGTCAAAGGTCAAGGTCACTATTACCTTGATACTGAAAACAGTTTCCGGAGCATAACTTAAGTTTCATCTGGCCCACAGTGTTCAAACTTCATAGGATGATTGTCCATATTGGGTAGAAGACCCCTATTGATTTTGGGGTCTAAAGGTCAAGGGTCAAGGTCACTACATCCTTAAAACCAAAAAGTTTCTTGAGCATAACTTAAGTTCCATTTGGCCCGCAATATTCAAACTTCATAGGATGATTGTCCATATTGGGCAAAAGACCCCTATTGATTTTGGGGTCACTAGGTGAAAGGTCAAGGTCACAAGTACCTTAAAACCAAAAACAGGTTCTTGAGCATAACTTAAGTTCAATCTTGCCCACAATATTCAAACTTCATAGGATGATTGTCCATATTGGGTAGAAGACCCCTATTGATTTTGGGGTCACAAGGTCAAAGGTCAAAGTCACTTTTACCTTAATACTGAAAACAGTTTCTAGAGCATAATTAAAGTTCCAATTGGCCCACAATATTCAAACTTCTTAGGATGATTGTCCATATATGGTAGAAGACCCCTATTGATTTTGGGGTCACAAGGTCAAAGGTTAAGGTCATTATTAATAACTTAAGTATTAATCACTCTACGGCGGATGAACAGCGAATTCCCATGTCTTACAAATGCTTCATCTTTACTAAAAAAAAACACTTTCGGGCATATAATGCTCCGCCTAGCGGTGCTCTTGTTTTTATTTCACTTGATACTATAAGGCTTTCGTATGTGACTTTCTTGTACGAAATTGATGCAGTTCATAAAAACTAGGGGCTCTTAGTGGTACAATTTCATATCATTCCACCCTCAAAAATATTAGTCATACTTTAACAAAAACAGTTTATGTATTGTGATTTGAAAACTTTTAGCAGTTTGTTTAGTCTTTGTCCTCTTTTTCGTCCACTGAGAATACCTATTTAGAAACCGTCTGACAGTGTTTTTTTTCGGCCGAATGCCGGTCTAAAATTAATTTGACTTTCTTTTAAAATTACAGGATAGAACTGAATACAAATAAAAAAATAATTGGTCATTTTAAATTACAAAATGAAACATTGTAATCCCATTTGCCATTTTAAAAGGATAGTATTAAAAATAAATTTACATGATAGTTCTTTAACTTTCTTTTTAAATTACTTAGATTATTAGGTTCTGTTTTACACTTTTCATTAGGAAACATTTTATTTCACTTACTGGGATTATTTTACTCAAGATCTGAGTTTTAAATTTTGTACAAAATAACGAGAATAATATCAGATAACCTCAGTTAATTATGTTCAAAAAGTGCCTAAATATTATATAATTACTGATGTGTTCAATTGATATAATGTTTATAATTTTTCATGATGTTTGCATATTAATCATGTATTTATAAAAAATAATTGCCTTCCCAATACGTCACAGTTTCGTTTAGAAACACAAACATCTTAAAGTGTTTCATTTTTCAAGATTGGTTACCCTACAAGAAATTATTATGACATTGTTTAATAAGTTTTGCTATAAGACTTTGTTTGGACAACAAAGAACTAACATATGCAAGTTATGTAAGGATGTTCTAAATGATTTTCTAAGTTCAAATCACCATTTTTGTGTATAAATGTTGAATACTGCTTAAGTCGGTGCTAGGGGTAACTTGCACTTTCCAGTACCGTCCATGAACAGGCTCAATCAAACCGAGCTTGCAACATTGTCAATTTTGCCTAGTTGGGCTTTCTTTAGGGATTCTGTTTTTATCTATTTCGGCCGAGTATCTTTCTTTAAAGATACCTATATTTTATATTAACTTTCAGCTACAGTTACTTCTACGTTGTACCATTTGACCCGAACTATATAATTCGTTTTATTTTTCTTAAAAGTGTCTTTCTATTACGTATTGCAGTCAGATATATGCCTGCTAATGTGTTAAGTAATAGAAAGAGCACCGAAACACGAGGCTATCTGATTTGTACGAGGGGGCGTAGCCCCCGAGTATTAATCAGATTGCCGAGTGTTTTGGTGTTCTTTCTCTTTTGTATCATAGTCAAACATAAAAGCACGTTCCCTGTTGTCACAATATGAAACCCCGGCAAAAATGAACCAATGAACGAACATCTGAATATGACATTTCTGTCGCTTTCCCTTTCTCTGTCGTCACAATATGTATACCCCAGCAAAAATGAGCCAATCAATGGGCATGCTCTGGAGTGCGGGTAACTAATACCCGCACTCCAGTTAACGCACGGTACATGTATATGTACACGATTTTTCAACAGAAAGGTCTCCAAACTATGATACAACTATACTTTTCGGACAGAAAAGTATATTGGTCTATACAAAATTTATTTTAGTTCGATTGTGTAGGAAGCTATAAGCTGATAGACACACTTTCGAATTTGTTCCTGGAACCTACCAGTACTTAGCAGTGAGTGTAAAGTTTCTTGCTCAAGGAAACAACGACTTGCCCCTGACGGGGTTTGAACCCATGCGGCTAGCTATCATTAGATTACTAGTCCGATTCATTAACTACTCGGCCATGCCGCCACTTCGAAAAATATATTGTTTGAAGATCCGCTAAAACTCACATAAATAAACATAAATAAAGGAGGAATGAATTTATGTAAATAATAATTTTAAGGACAATGTTTATGCATAATTCATCATTTATCCAAATATGCAACTGTGTTTTACGATTTGTTGATTTATTCACAGAGTTTTCTAAACATCAAGAAAATATTTCTGTCAGGGGCCGTTTCACGCGATATGGAATATCAGGCCAAGAAACAAGGTAATGTACAGATGATTATTTTAACACAACATTGTTCTTGTGAATCATTAAATATTTAAACTAAAGCCATCGATGCCCGACGTTTTCTAATATAATGCGCATACATTTGACTTGTATGATTAAAATCGCAACCGTATGTCTGTGCCACCACAAACAAAATTAGTGTCCGGATGGTAACTTTGTCATGCAATGAAGAATTTGAAAATAACTTGTCACAAACGTGTACAACTTCATTATTATGTTTCTTGTCTAAGACCCATATTCTACCTTCAAGGCCAATGTCTCACTTACAAATTGAAAGCTCATATTCTTTTAATTAGAGTTTAACTGTACACACATTCGTGTCCGGACTGTAACTTTGTTATAACAAGGTATATATATATATGACATAAAAACGACGTGTTGCGTTCAAGACCCATGTCCCGACCCCCAAGGTCAAGTTAACACTAATGGTATTAATGTACTCGTTATCACAAAAAGAGTTTGAAGATTCACACACGGGCCTAGACTGTAAATATGTCTTGCATTTAAGAATTATAAAATAACTTGTTTGACTAATGTTTTTCTTATTGATAGGATGATAACCTACATGGTATTCTTCCTTTGGATTAATTTATGGGTCAGTTGGGTCAAGAACACCAGTGCTTAAGATAGATTTTTTACACTTTTGCCATAATAACCTTTATTTATAGACAGATGTCTTTCATATTTAGAGAAAAAGATAAGTTGCATGGTTTTCTTCTTTTGGATGGAGCTAGGTGGGTCAATGTTAGGGGTGCCAAAATAGATAAATGTACATTTTCTTATACAGTATTTATTTATAAACTGATATTTTTCATATTTGGAAGTAATATACCTATTATGGTCCAGTGTTTGGAGTCACAAGCTCAAGGTCAACTGTGCTAACAATATAATTTTTTTCACATTTCCAAATAAAGCCTTTGTATTTTGTTTTCATGTCTCATATGGAGTAGAACATACCTAAGATGGCCATTGAGTTTGGGTGGAGTTTGGGGTCACTGAGGTCAATGTCTTTCATTTATATATATTTGATACATTCTTATTGGCAGAATTTTTTTTATTTTCATCACAAAGCAATGACATGCCGACAAATATTCTTCACAATTACGAAAAGTCAAGACTGTCAAATTATACTACTGCATTTACTTTTTTTGTAATATTAATGTCCATAGCTGAGTAAAAGGGTAAACCGTTTTTGAAAAACTGCTTCTGACAAGAATCTGGGAATTTGTGTTTAACAAACACTTCGTGATTCAATAGATAAACAGATCAGAGGAGTGGTCTAAAGACAAAAAATAAGTTTGGTACAAACTATTTAATGAAATGTTCATATTTGACCTTTAGGCTCTACATTTAATATTACTTACAGATTTTGACATAATTGAATTATTCGTAAGTGTTTTATTGGCAATGTATGAATCAAATCCGTAATATGAATTTCAATAATTTAATCTCATTATTTAAGGGTCATATTAAAATAATTCAACATGCAGGTTTTGTCATATGTGTTCTTTCATAAAAGAATAAATATAATCTATATATGATAAACAAAGGAATGGCCAATTTTATGAACATTGAATGAGTTGACCTTAGACAATCAGATCAAGGTCATAATTGAACTATTCAGCATGTCGATTTTGACAGCAGTGATTCACTGATTTTATGACATAGTCAAAAGAAGGTAAAGGCGTAGTTAAAAATCTTAAATGTCTTGTGCAAATAAGACAGGGAAATTTTAACCATTTGACTTTAAGGTCAGTGTCGTTCTCAGATTAAGTTTGATGTTGCTTTAGATACTCGTGTTCCAAAATGAGGACGTTCTGGAATAATATCCAGGTATAAAAATATTTAAGCAAAATACAAGAGCTTGACTTTGAAGGTCTTGTCAAAATGTGTTTGTGTCCAGATATGAAGATAAAAAAAATTATCACCAATTACAGCAAAAATCAAGCAAAATTTTAAAACTTGACCTTGCAGGTCAACATCATTCATGAGTCAATGCCAAGTTGTTCTACTTTACGGACTTGTCATTCCATGTATGGTGACAATCCATTAAAAAAAACTTCACTGCAATGTTTCGAAAAGGTGTAATATGAACTTTATATTTAAGACGTTTTTGCTTGTTTTTATATTGGAACAACCTCAGGATAAATTAGAATTTGAGTATGTAAAAGTTTGAAACTAGAACAACAGCATTAATTAAATCGAAATATGAACTTTTTTTCAGATTTCCGAAGAAGAATGCATTTTGGATACCACAGATACATGGACGCATGTTTAAATTTTTTGGATTGTTTGTATCTTTATTCCCATGATGGTGAAAGGATTCGCTCCGAAAAAGACATTTTTTATCAAAGAGGTTCATTGAGCAAAAATATAGTTGTTTCAGGTTCAAAACTAAGCTGCCAAACGTTGTGCGTGTTCCTTGCAGAAAAATGTAGTCGACATGCATATTGGCCGGATTTCCAATATGTGTTCAGGCTGCCACTGAGATATGTAAATGGAACACATATACACGATATGATCAAAAGCCATTTCTTAGCAGGAGGCGGTGACGTTATCTTTTTTGAACAAGTTCTGTTCCGAGAGGCAGACAAATGTTTGATCATTCTAGAAGAACTCGACAAATGGATACCTTATGAACATGATATATTAGATATGAAAAACAGACAGCTTTCAACAGCTCAAAGAAGTTATCAATTGCCAAAAAGAAATCACATGACCGAGTATGTTGTTCTGGTTACAACAAATGATACAAACGTAGAAAACATTAACCTTGGTGAAACAGATAGATTGTTATATCTTAAGGGCTCAGATTCAGATTCAGATTCAAGTTCAGATTCAGATTCAGATTCAAGTTCAGATTCAGATTCAGATTTAGATTCAGATTCAGATACATTTAATAAACTAGTGTCACAGGGTGAGAAAAATGTGCAACTTGACCGGGACTCAATCCCGGGACCCTCGAAATACTGTTCCGCGGTTTTACCGACTGAGCCATCCTCCGACAGCTTCGAAGACTAGACACTAAACAGTTCTGAACTGTAGCATACTCCCGCTATATTGAATCCGTTCTCGAATCTTCTTAAGATTACAGAGCAATGGTTATTAAATTAGACACTGTTTCCCTCTGGACACCAAATGTCACAGGATGAACAAAATGCGGAGGTTGACCAGGTTGACCCGTACCTTTGACCCTCGGAATACCGTTCCGCGAGTCAAACGACTTAGAAGTTGTTTTTGAAAATAAGGCTTTATGCTTTAAGAGCATAGATATTACTTGAGAAAACTGATCTTTAATTTGCTTTTAGTGGCTTTTGCCAATGAAAGACACCGCACCCTTCAAAAAATATTTCTGGTAAAGGTAACTCTGAACATTGTAACGCTATTATTTTAGATAAATTTGACAATTTACATGTCTATTATGAATTTATCAACATTTTGAATTTTTTCAATGTCCCTTGTATTTGAAAAATCATATGTTATGATGGCAATATCCTTCGTGCTATTGAATTTATTATATACAAGTATGCCCTATTCCATATCGTTTTCATAGTTAAATCCTCTTCAAAAGTTATATAAATTGCCCTGTTCTAATGTCAAAGAATCCTAACTATGTCCTGAGGTAAGATATGTTGGTCTGAGTGAATATATAGTTAAAGCTTTGTTTGAATTCTAAAAAAAATAAAAAAACGAAAATGTTGGTTTAATTGTGATAAAGAAAGATCACAAAATAATACCACATATAATAATGCATGTCTGAATTTATTATTATACATGTTCAGACTGTTCAGCTGTTAAAGTCATTATTGATATTAAGTGTCGTGTTTACACGCGGCGGTTCTTTAAGTATTGCCCAGAATACAATTAAAGATCATGCACAAAAACACATACATATATAATATTTAGAATCATGAAATATAATTTTTTGACAAACTTTGGTCTCCGATCTTAAATCATTGAAGCAAAGTACATGGTAAATCGTTTGGTAGGGTGTAATTGCACTTTTGTAAAAAAGAAGGTTTTTTATTTTAAAGTCAACAGAAAATAACGTTACTTATAATACTATGAATTTCTATAAAAAATGAATATATTTGTTTTAAGATATTATGTTAAAGACCTAAGAAGTATGTTTACATTATTTACACTTCTGTTAAGATGATATCTAACAACAGGGAAAAGCGTAATTGGTGCTCTTTCTGTTTAGAGCCTTGCACATTGATGCTCTTTCTTGCAGTGTTTACTTATTTTGTTGACAAAAAACAATCTATGTCTTGATGAAAGTGTAGGTTCCGATAAGTTATTTTTCGCATTAGTTACGCAAAGATTAAATTACAAAATCACACAGTGGCTGAACACAATACTTTATTATCGAGTTTTGTTTTAAAGGAGTATTTCCTCCTTTAGACAACTACCACTACCATATCCTGACCATTTTTGTGTTAATAAATTATTTTGTCTAGAACACGTCGTCACACATATTACTAATAGAAGCTGATAGATAGAAAATAGAAGACGCTCGATATGTAATTCAACAACAAAATTATATTTATTTTAAGAAGAATGCTCTTTGTCAACAAAATTACAAAACACAAACATCTTTATACATAAAATATAAAAGAAAAGATCATATGTATAAATACACAGAACTTGAACTTCTGAATTCGGACAATAAAGAAATACAAGAAACCTAGACACATTTGATGGAAAGACATTTATCATTTAAATACTAACATTTAAATAATTTGTAAATATCTTAACATTGATAATATTTTAATAAGTTTTGGAAGATTTTTAGTTGTTCTTTGACTTGTTTATGTCTATTAATATATTAAAATATGCAAATTTAGTATTGTATCTTTTGTGTGTTTTTTGACCTTATCTGAAATTATTTTAATTCTCTTTTAATTCAAGAAACATGATAGTTTGTATATAAAATTTCACAAAGGCATAAGAATTTCTTATGTATATGTTTGTATTGCACTTATTTTTTGTTCTATTATATATGACATTTCACTGCACTTAAGTTTAACTCCAGGTCACACAGAATATATTAATGTAAAAAGGCTCATACTTAAACCTTGGTGGTCATAGATCACATATTGATTATGAATATATTAAGTTTTTTTAAAGATTGGTTGCTGATTTAAAACATTATGTAATATTTTTTATAAGAACGGTCTTATTTATGTATAAAGTATATGTGTAAAAACTTTATTCCTGTAGACTCTATCCATTCATATATGACTAGGCCAAGTGAAAGTTGGTGTTATATTTCACCAAGAGTCAAATATTATGTTGCGAAATCGTTTGAATATAATGATCATGTCTTGTGGATCGTTGATTTGTGAGACATAATAACAGAGAACAAACTCTATATGTGCGAATGTTGAGCCAATTTTAATGTGTAGAGCAGTTTGTGACTGTATATAAAGTTGCTCTGAAACCATCATTGTTGTGATGGTGGATTAGCAGTGGCTATGCTTTCATTACTGTTCTGCTACGCGCCGTGCCGTTGTTTGACTGGCATATCGATTTGGTGGTATGTGTGTAATATATATTTTTTTTAATTTTGAACAACGATATGCTGTTTCATGCATCTATTTCAGTGCCACCAGTACTTAAAAGGTCTTCACTTAGGTTGGTTTAAAGGCGTTAAAACATAACATATGAATTTCTGACATAAATGAGCTCGGGGTCTTTAAACAGAAATAAATGCAAACTTAAGATAGTTAAGAAATATACTTTGAAATACATTAAAAATCGCATCTTTATGCTTTTTATGCCCGATTTGAGTGAAAAGTGTTTCAACCCTTTTCATTTTTGGTCATTTTTTTACAATTTGAATAATGATTCTGGGAAGACGAAGTGATCTGAAATGTTGCACAAAGATCAATGGTCTAAACCTACATCAAATGGTACATTTATCTGGAACATATTTTCAGTCCCATCATGTCAAAAAACCTCAGTGGAGTCCCCTTTTAGGATAAAAATGAAGAATACTATAATTTCATTTCTTATTTTATTGTTTTAAAAAATATCCATATTATTGCATAGTATTGAAAAATTGTACATCAATTTTAATGAGTAATATAAAAATTAAAAATATGAAAAGGTGACTGCACATGCAATTATTAATTACTTTATCATTAAATAAAATATAAAACATGTGTCAGATGCACGTTCATCAATATGGCTAAAGAAATAATTAATATTTAATATCTAATGGCAGAAGTTATTTTAGCAAGGGAAGTAAATCTTCATATCATGTCAATAGGGTTTACATAAATGTGTCGCAAAGGGAGACATTTTAAGACGTATATATAAGATAAACACATAACATGAAATAATGTCCTGTTTTTATATGTTAAAGAAGAGTCATTATGACCTTCTCCTATATTGACATGTTTGTTAAATCATTATGTTGTATATGAATTTGTGCACTGTTCTGTTTCTTGTATTTTGATGTTAACTTGTCATCATGGGCTTATAAATGTTATTTGATTGGAAAAAAATGTCTGAATGAATGATCTATACAACATATATAACTCATGTCCTTATAGTCACTGTACAACATTTATAACTAAACAATATATAAAAAAGCATTCATGAGTTCGTCATACTTTATACCTCAAACGACTGGACTGTTTTTATGTCCCCATCCCATATCGGGGGGGGGGGCTTATAGTTTTTGCAACTGCCTCCAACCTCCCGTCTGTCTTATCGTTCCGGCTTTGTGTGCAGTCCACAAACTTTTTCATTTATGGATGACTTTCAGAGTTGTGTATAAATGTGTGGCACATTAAAAGAATTTGTCTCTTGGTGTCACATTTTGACTTCAAAGGAAATTGTTCATAAAAATACACGCAGCTGTCATTCCTGGCTGGATATAAAAAAAATACAACACATGAAAGTGTTGAACAGTATCAACAGTATCAATATGTTTGCGTGCAAGAATCATGTCCCAAGCTCAAAGGTCAATGTCACATTTGTAGAACAAAATTAATGATAATACTTTTTTATAAAGGTGCACTGATTTTCTTGACAGATCAATTAGTTCTGTCTTTTGTTGATGGATTAAAGAATCATAAATGTATCAAGCATTATGACAATGTGTCTGGCGCAAGAGTCAAGTCCCTAGCTAAAAGGTCAAGTTTAGAGCTGAAGATCCAAAGTAAAACGAATTGTATATACACATGCACTGATATTCGTGTTTGGTTAATAATAGTATTTTTTTCTGGATAAAACCATGTATAAATGTGTTGGATATAATGACAATGTGTCGTATGTCAAAAGTCAAGGTCATGCCTGTCACGATATTACTTTTTCATGAAAAGGGACTGTTGTTCGCCATTACTGGATGGATTAGGAATCAGATCTGCAGCTCATATGTTAAAGTCACACTTGTATGCAAAAGTCAATGAAAAATGATTTTAAATGCATTGATGGCCGAGTCCGGTCTGTATTTCAAGCATTCCTGGGTGAATTTGTGAATAGGCTGACACATATGTGCTAGACATGATAATGACGTGCCAAGACTTTAGTTTAAATCAATGTCACATATGTACGTTAAACATGATGATTGTAAATAGCCGAAATTGCATTTCTCGAACATAATGGTAAAAGTTAGAAATCATATTTAATTATTTTTAAAACAAAACTGTCTTGAATCATGTACTGAATCATTTGGTAGTCAGCTTATATCACGCGCGTTTTTTTTGTAGAAAAATCTTCGCTTAATAAAAGCGTCAGACAAAAACATAATAGGACCCGCTCAAGCGCGGTCACTATACATTTTGTGGCACCGCTGATCTCATCATCATCCCTATGATATTTAAAATCCCGCTGACACTTACATAAATAAAGAAGAAACACATTCGTTTAAATATTTCCCAATTGGAGCGTATGTATTAATTTCACCCACCAATTAGAGAAAAATGACCGCATCCTAAGAGCGCAAATTGTTTTTAAAATCGGCGAAATGACGAAATTTTGAAGCGCGCAACTTATCGGCACCCCATTCAAGACGGATCTTCCAGCACGTAAAAATTATTATGTAAACATTAGTCTCATATGAAAGAATGAAAGTATGTGTTTTTTAATTTAAACAGGCCGCATATTCCTAGTTTAAATATAATAATCAGACTGGATATCTCTTCTATATTGAAAAACGATACACTGTAGTGTTTAAAGATTATTGATCGGTTAAATCCGATTTAGCCTAAACGTTCAATAATTTTAATAATTTCCTGTAAAAAAATCCAAAATGTTTCTCATTAAAAGCCTTGTACGGTTATTGATCCGTTATTGAACTATCTTTTGAAAATTATAAATCCTATTTCTTACAGCCGTCGTTAACGGTGCTTTTTCTCAATTTTGTGTATGTATTCGGTAATTGATAATAAAAAGTAAACAGTTCTATGTACACTTTGAGAGGACAATAATTAACTTATAACAATGCTGAATAAGAGTTGTAGAGTCTTGAATTATTACCAAAACACGTGTTAAAAGTAAATATTTCTCACAGTTCGGTACGTCTATTTTATTTCTGGTTTTAATTTACAGAAATTCATAGCCTACCTATTATGATAAGCCAACTAAAATATCGTCTTGCGTTAGATATCGAGGTTTTCGCTCCACATGTTGCCCCTTCACTCCAAAAATATGTATACAAAATAAAAGCACTGTACCTGGAGTAGTTTATTTTGTATGAAATGCAAGTGTTTGTTACGGTTAGGTCTGTTTTTAACACATTTTCGAGAAATCCGATGTGTAGACCATGTGTGTGGTTTTGAAGTGCAGTTATTAACAAATCATCGTTTACTTCATCAAGAGAAAAAGTTCTCTCTGGATTGTTTTGTTTTTTTTCGCAAAAGTTTAGGTGACATAAAGCCTGCATCTCTTCTACAAGGAACGATATTAACGATTGTTGAAAAAATACATATTCAATGAATAAGAATACAAAATCATAACCAAAACTTGCCAATAGCAGTTTGAATTGGCCTTCATTCTTTCTCTGATATGAAGCTCGCTCTTTATAATTTTGAGGAGGAAGGTAAGTTTGGCCTGCATGCTTAGAATCACAGCTGTGAAATACTTGTTGCTTAACTTCTAATCTCCTCTAAATCCATGAAATATAAAATGTAGACAGTATGTCTAAATACACTTTTACAATATGTAAAATCCAAAAAAATATAATATCAAAGATATCATCCCTCGTAACAATACTGTAACCATCGGCTTACGCCTCTGGTAACAGTTTTTCTCTCTGGATAATATTCCTATTTTTCTATGTGCTATTTATATATAATTACAACACATAACTTTCGACAGTTCCATTCGCAAGATGGCGTGCTATAAAAGCATTTAAATAGTTACTAAATTTAAA